CTGTTAAAACTATGGAGATGGACAAAGAAGTCCTGAAAAGAACTCCTTTAATTCATGATACAGGATCTAGAGAGGAATAAAGTGTTCAAAGTGTAAATCTGAATAAAAAGTAGAGTAATTATGGTATAGTGAAGTGCTGGGAGATTTGAAGCCTTGAGAGGCAATGAGAAAACTGTTTTCTGGTGAAGCTCACAGAAACAGATGAAGAAGACTTTTTTTGCCTTTGAATAACTTAAAAATGCTATCTCTAGACTCATAGCCCATACACACTTCAGAGTGATGTGAAAATGGGAGGAGTGAACTCTAATAATAGCAGCTCTTGGCAGCTAACATTAGGGCAATAGAAAACTGTAACAAAAATAGTTTTCTTGTGAGAAACTCCATAAATTAACAGGAAGAAATTTCTGTTTCTCTATAGAGACTGGTGAAAAGACTGTAGCAAGAATTGGGACTGTTTTAACCATCAAAGTTCCAAAGTTTTTGTCTCTGTTGTCATGTGAACAAGGGAATAGTGGGTAGACAGGGGATGAAAAGGTTTTTTCTGGAAGTTTATTCTGGTGTTCTTATTATTGTAGTTTGTCAATAAACTTTCTTTTTTTTTCCTTTTAAGTTTTATGCCTGTTTTGCTCTTGTTCTAATCCATATCTCACAGCAAGAAATAAGTAATTTTCTTAGTTATTGGTTTAAAACCACGACAGGTGGGCTGTGGGGCAGGGGCAGGCTCCGGAGCAGCACCCCCATCTCTGGGGCTGTGCCAGGTTCTGGAGCGGCACCCCCTGTCTCTGGGGCTGTGCCAGGTTCTGGAGTAGCATCTCCAGTCTCTTTCCTTTTGTCTCTGAAGGCTAAGTAGAACAGGCCTATCAGCAACACCAGACACTATATGATGTCATTAGCATCCAGAGAAGATTTTAACCCTTGAAAAACTGGCAGGGTAGGCCCAAGGAACTGGGTGAAAGGTTGGGAGAAAATTTCCCCAGCTGTCTTTTTCTCCCAGTAGGTACCATTATTAAAGTAACCCAAAAACCATCCAGTTAGTGACAGCTCTGAATCCATGAGCCTGCTGTTCAGAGGACATTAAACATCCATGAATTCCTCACCTTATCAATCCACAAAACAAACTGGATAATAGCCACAGTAGCCTTAGTTATAGGACCCATATTTAGGTAATGTACAGCAAATAGGAGAAATACAGCTGTGACCACATGCCCCCGGAACCTGGGTAAGCTAAACAACATGGTTCTACCTAACAAGGTTTCTAAATCCAGCACACAAAACTTAGGTTATTTAAGAACTGTTATTCCTTTTATGCCCTTTTTCTTTCAGTGTTCCATGGGTGGGCGCCAAAATCTGTCTTGGTTCTAGAAGACAGGTGTCTGCTAGGGAGGGCAGGAGCCTCCCTTGGGATGAAAGAATGTAGGCCCCCCTCCCTCCAAATTATTATAATTTTGAAATCAAGGGGCTTTCAGGCAGAGATCTGGGGATAGGAATAACAGTTCTTTACTAGTATAACCAGGCAAACAAACAACAATAACTACAGCATTATCAAGAAAACAGAAATGGGGACCCCGGGACAGCCTTTTCGGCTGAGACGGGATGGAGGAGAGGCTTTGTTTCACAAAGCCCCTCGGGCGGGCAGTCCCAGTGCTCCTGCAGGGCTCTGAGGAACAGTCGGCTGGAACAGCAGGAATGAGCAGAGATCCTGGGCCGGTGGATGAGGTGTATCAGCAGCTCCGCGGCGGTGCCTGGCACTGCCACACGTCCTGGCAGGACGGGGGTGTGAGGCCAACCAACAAAAAGGGAAGAAGACGCAGAAGAAGCAGCAGCTCCATCTGGGTGATGGCGAAATTCCCTTCTCTCTCCCGCAGCAGCTCCACGACCCAGAAAACGAATGCCTTTCCCCCAAAGCCAAAGAAAGCCAGCCAAAAACTGTCCCCACCCTCCTTTCCTGCCCCCTTCCCCCCGGGCCTGGCCACTCTTTGTTCTTTGTTGAGCACCTACTAAATATCCACAGTTAGGTTGTCTTGGCAACTAATGGGTAAAAATTACTAACTAACGGGCAGGCCAGAACAACAACAAAAAAATAAAAAAGGACACCTAACTCTCAACAACCTTGATGAATGTATGAATTTTCTTCCATATCGTACTTAACTACAAGTGTAAATCCATCCCTGACTTAGCCAAAAACTGACATCAAGTACACAGGCATCTACCAAATAGCCAATACTGCAGAAAGGAGAGAAAGTTAAATTTATTTTACTTCAGTTTTATCCCCACTATCCAATTAAAAAGCAAGGATCCTCAAGTTTACTACAGCAAATAAGAGTGTTTTTCACCTCTAGCATTCACTGATACATACAAACTGAAGTGAAAGATAAGGTCAGAAGACACCAATCTTTTTAAAAATACCTTGAGAGAGGTTTGAGGAAGAACTTAATCAAGTCAGTGGTTCATTTAAGGTAGTAAGTATCAACATATACAGCAAGCACTCAAAATAAACCTTTCTCACCAGAACCTAGTGCACCAGAACCTTCATGGGCACCACATAAAGAAGCTCTGTCTATGCCTAGTTCCACCTTGCGATCTACTAGTTGGTAAGAACCTAGGCCTGTAAGAGCTGTATAGTCCCCACTGCTGCTCTCCAGCTGGGAGATGCCCAAACCTACTCACTTCAGACAGGATGTAACTGGGATCTGGGCAGGAATCATGGTAGTCTCACTTTTCTCAGCCTGCTCTGTATCAGCTGGGTGCCAAGGGAGGCCCTACAACCCAATGAGTCCTTCTGTTTTTCCTGGGGTAATATCACTATGAGGATGAAGTAGTGGCACAAGTTTCTTACTATAGCTAATTCATACAACCTACAGAAGCAGCAGTCCACAGCAAGCACAGCCATGCTCTCTGTTGGCCCTCTGTCTCCTGAGCTCCCTTGTTTGCTGAGTGCTAGAAATCATTTTGTGCTGCTTTGTACAACTAGGGGAAGCTGAACTACAAAAGTTGCCCTGACATGAAACAGAAGATTGCTTGCAGAGTTGATCTTTTTCTGTTTATCTCTTAAGAAGGAATAATTTAGCTCCACAGAAGTGTTAAGAAAACCCCCAAAGATATTATAGTACTTGAAAAGAAGGACTGAACTTTTCTTACATTTGTCTAATTTAAGAAAAAACACAGACTATTTCTCTCAACTCACAGATCTCTGTATTTTCCTGTTCTGGGAAACTGAGCATCAGTGAAGTAACAGGAAACAACTGAAAAATCAGCAAAAAAAGGCCATTACAAGAAAGTGAAGTAAAAATGAAAGTCACCACAGTAAAATATACAACTGTAGTTAAAACCCTTTCCATGTGTCCTCAGTGTTTGTTGCTGAGCAATCAGCTTTTAAGATTCAGGACTTGTGTCCCCACATAACAACTACACTAGAGTTCTACAGTATCAACATTTGAGGCTTCCAGCTCCAGACAATAAAGACTGCTTCAACTTGTGTTGCAACATTCTATACCCATCTTGATTTTCAAATATCTATCACACAAGATACATTTGTCTCTTTCACAGAGCTTTTAGATAAGAACACACAAAGGATTTTTGCTTTAGGGTCAGCTACTGCTTTCTGCTTCTTTGGTACACAGCTTCAGTTAACTCTGCTAACTGCTTTTGAGCTGTGTCTTTTCTAGAGACTCATAAAGTGCCTTAAACACAATTACCAACTGCATACATTTCAATGGAGTCCCTTTACAACTCTTCTAGTTTTTAAGATTTGCTAAGCCATGCTCAGCTGAGATTAAATTTCACACCACTTCTTTCCTCAACCTCCCTTCTTTCATTAGAAACCACAATGAGTGTAATAAGACTACAACACAATTATCTCTACCCAAAATATTGTCCTTGAACTATATAAATTTGTTACTTAAACACTAAGGCTCACAGCCTATTTTGACTCATATGAATTCAATAATCAAAAGGGGGGAAACATGAAAAAATCATCAGTTTGAATTTTTTAGCTCAGCTCTGAGTGCACAGAGCATTCCCTACCCCAGCTCTCATATTCTGCACCTCTGGCCTCCTCACTCACCTTGAGCCTTGTCAGACAGATATACACAGACAGGTATACCCTGCAACTACAACTGTTCCCAAACCAGCCCACTCATCTTCCATACACACCCCCTTCCATTTTCACAAGGGAAGGCTCCTTTATGTGTTCAGGCACTTGAACACTTCATGACCAGGAGAAATCCTAAGACTGATGTAGCAGGCATGACAGTCAGGCAACCTGAAGTACCATCCTGAGAGAGTTTAAAGTGTCCCACATGAGCAATACCAATTATGTAGGTCATGTGCCTCATCTGTGGTATATCCCAACTCCAGCCTAGAAAGCACACTCCAAGAAAAAGCAGGCAATTATTCAACTCTGAAATAGATCTTTCTGAAAAGAAACACCTGTGAGGTCCCACAACTCTGCTCTCTCCTGGAAAAATCACACTGAGCCAGCATAAGAGACGGTCCTGCAAAGTAGAGATCCCAACCAACTGGCCCCTTTGTATTCATCTCAATTTCTCCCATCCGCAGAAATGTGATAAGACTACTGATTTTTTTCTTCCTTTTTAAACAAAAATATGATTATGATGCTTTTTTATGGCGTAACACCCACAACACCTCAGTACTGAGAGCTTCCAAACCAGAAATAACTGCTGAGACTGAAAAGATCAATATGACAACAATGTTTAGAGCTTTGGATCATGCACATGTCATCTACCTCAAATTCAATTTTCTACATCTGAATTCATACATCTGAATTCCCAGATGAAAAGGTTTACCTAACATTTTAAAAAAAACTTAAATGAATTCACACCAATCCAAGGTTGTGAAAAGAAATAATGTAGCTTTTTTCCCTAAAGAGAGAGCATACCCTTGAAATTCAGGCTATCAATTAGGACTTAGGAGATGTGGTTCAATTCCTGGTAATTATTTTATATCCCCTGCAGCAGCACATTCCAGATCTCCAACCTTACCTTGAGTAGTATGATTACTAAATTGATTTTCATCATCTGAAGTAGAACTCAGGGTTAATCCCAAGTCTTCCAGCCTCTTCTTCTGCTTATTTTGGGGGCTGCTAAATTCGGGTTCTGTCCTTCTCTTCATGTTTTCCCAAAATGCTAAAAGAAGATCACACCTGGAAAACATTAAGCAAGTTAACTTTCTGTAATGCACATCAGTATGGTGGCATAGATCATGTTAAGCTGTTAACTCATGGTAAGTACTAGGCTTCTCAACATAAATGTCTTTAGGTAACAGTCTTAGCTTCTTTTGAACCGCCTTTTTAAACACCTAGTCTAACTAATCAAACAGGAAACTGATATGGAAATTTCCCTATAACTGATGAATTTCAAATCACTTCTACAACCTACTTATCCCCAAATGCAAGTAGATTAAGTCAACCCAGATATAGACACTTAGATAACTTAAATATATGGCAGTTCATTACTACTACTGATTCAAAGGTTCATTTTATCCAACCAGACTGAAAAAATGTCAGTTCAATCTAATGGAGAATATGCAAGGCAGAAGCAATTTCTCATGAGACTCCAAATGACTCCGACCTCACCTCTGCAAATCTTAATTCATAAAGGAGCTTTTATGCATGACTTTTGTAACAGAATTTTATTAAATATGTGTGTGTGGTTGTATTTTTCACCAGGAATCACTGGCAAGATATCCTTGCCACAGCTTCTGCATGTGGCTGATAATTTTGCATAAACCCAGAGAAAGGTCTACTGCCTAAGATAGAATTAATAAAAGCCAGCTTGGAAGGCTTGCAGAAGACAAGAAGCAAGGAAAGGGAAAGCAGGTAAAAATGTAAAGGGAAAAATGCTTAACACACCAGTTAAAACCTCCCTGCTACTGGAAAGGAAAAAAAAAAAAAAAGAAACTGAACCTTGACTAGTGCTTATTATTCCATATAGGATTGTTGGGTTATAAAAGATGTCCCAGGTCACCAATTCAAACCTTTAGTTATGAAACTTATTTTCACAAACACATACAAGGCAGCTTAAGGCCAAATCCTTTCTTTATGCCCACAACTGCAAAATGATCCCACAGGCTCACTGCACTATGGCTAAAAAATCTTCTCCCTTCCACCGGAAATTCTATTACAGACAACTCACCTTTATCTGCTCTTGCTTCAATTGGGGGTTTTGGGGTTTTTTTTTTCCCTTGTTTATCTCTAACAAACCAGCCATTTTCTATTTTTTCTGAGAGAGCTTAATGAGGGACCAACACACTCTCAGCTCCCCCCTACCAGCTCCCTATTGAGACCCACACCATCCAAACCCCACTAAGGGTGCCTCAGCATGCCTGCCTTCCTGACAAATTTCAAACTATGCAAAATTAGGTGCAAGTTAGGGACACCCAATCCCTCAGGAGCCCCGCAGCTGCAAGGGAAAGCCCTTCCACATCCCCACAGCCCCCTTGCACCGAACCACCGGTCTCTCACAGAATCATTCCAATCTCAAGTTAGAAAAGACCTCTGAAGTTATCAAGTCCAACCCGTGACTGAACACCACCATGGGCACTAGACCGTGGCACTGAGTGCCATGTCCAGTCTTTCCTTGAACACCTCCAGGGATGGTGACTCCACCATCTCTCCGGGTAGCACATTCCAATGTCGAAATACCCTTGCTGTAGAGGAATTTCTCCAGCTGTCCAGCCTACACCTCCCCGCGCGCAGCCTGAGGCTGTCTCCTCTTGTCCTGGTTACCCGGGAGAAGGGGCCGATCCCCTCCTGGCTACACCCTCCTTTCAGGTGGTTGTAGAGAACGATATGATCTCCCCTGAACCTCATCTTCTCCAGGCTAAACACCCCCAGCTCCCTCAGCCGATCCTCACAGAACTTACCCTCCAGATCCTTGACCAGCTTCGCTGCCCTTCTCTGCCTCTCACCCCTGTCGCACCGCCCGCCGCACAGTCCTCGGTCCCAGAGGCCGAGCCGAGACCCCCCCGCAGGCGGAGGGCGGGCGGAGGGCAGACGGCGG